AGGTATTTTAAACTAAGTTTACATTTTTCAGGTGATTTTACATTTTTTCTAAGTTCTTTATGTGATAGAAAAAAAAATGCTATATAACTTTGAATATGGTCTAAATTTAACTGATCATTTCAGGACAATATATGCGACATTATTCTTATAAAATGTCAGCACACCTGAGATGATTTTCACCTCTCAATAGTAAAGACTGTTTGTGTAAATTTGCACTGAACATTCTTCTGCAGGTTTTTCTACGGCTAATTTCAACTATTTTGGGTTTGAGACGCTTTAACGGTCGCTGCTTCTCCTGAATCCATCCAGCGTGATTTTCATTTTCTGTATAATTGCCCATAACACAATTTTCTTCTTGTATTTCGTTGCGCCTCTTCCTCGTGTTCATTTCTGTCCCATTTTATTTCTGCTGTCAACACAGATAATTCAGCAGACCACACACCGTTTAATCCTTCAGCATCAAGAGTGATATCCTCATCACCAAAACCAAACACTCTCTCATAAACTATTTAAGCAGCCTGGCACATGGCGTTTAAGCAGATAAAAGCTCTTACTTGCTGCTTGCTCGGCACCGCTCGGATAGAAATCTTCCCAGTTCCGCTTAACGTTGGCTTGTGACGGATTTGCTGGGTCAATTGCAACAGTGGTGGAGCGGAACATGGGACCAGAACCTGGAGCACTGAGGGGAAGACAAAAGAAAAGTGGAGGAAGATGGTCAGAAATGCAAAATTAGGGAAGAGAAAAGCTGAACAAAAGAAGGAAACACAAAGAAAGGAAAGGGGAAAAGGAGCTAAAGGAAGATAGTAAATTAAATAGAAAACATACAGAAGACAGGACAATAGAAAATCAATAGAGAGATTAGAAAGAACTTATAGGAGAGGAATTAAACAGGAAATTGAAGCTAAAATCTTTTCTTCTCACTTTGAGCAACAAACCAACTGGCTTTGTAGTTGGTCTGAATGAGAGTGACAGCCGATACCATGACTCTTTATATTCAGAGAGTGTGCGCTGAACACTGTGTGGTTGGTCAGAAAGACTTTATAGGCTTTCTGAAAATCCATAAGAAGCCACACAAGATGCATTTTTCCTTTTAAGGGCATATGTCATAGTAGAATTCAATTCAACTCAGTTTATTTTATAGCACACTCATCTCAAGACACGTTACAGTTTAACTAGATCATTAGGTCAAATTTTCTATCTAAGGAAAACCAGTTGAATTGCAATTGAATGCAATCCCTCACACTAAGCATGCTTGTAGCGACAGTGGAGAGGAAAAACTCCCTTTGAACAGGAAGAAACCTCCAGCAGAACCAGGCTCAGTGTGAGCGGCCATCTGCTGAGGCTGACTGGGGTTCAAGGAGACAGAAGCAGACATAGAAAAAGAAGCATAGATAGAAAAAGCAGCTGTTAAAGGCGGCTCCATCCAGGAAACACACAGCCAGGAGGACGAGCTCTGAGCCAGCTCCCATGTAAGAGGAGTCACAGTCAGTCATAGTCAGAGAAACAGGACTACACTAAAAAACAAGCCAATCTCCAACATCTAGAAACAAAGGTGTTGATGGCAGCAGCACAGCTGATATTTCTCTCTAGGATAGAGTCACAGTCAAATTATGAAATTTATGAAACTTTGCTATGTTCCTGATAGTTATTATGAAATCAGAATTATGCCGAAAGTGCACACCATCATAATTAGCAATACAAGTAGTTTTATTTAAATCACAGCCATATAAACAACTCTCTCTAAATATCACACTGGAAAAAATCGAAATCTAGATAAGTCGTTTTTTTCTTAAAATAAGTGCATTTCTTCTTGGATTAAGGAAGTAAAGGTGAGATCTTGCCAATGGAACGAGACAATTTACACTTAAAATAAGAAAACACGATTGCATTGTCTTATTACAAGTGCATTATCTAATTATCTTCTTTTAAGAATAGAAATTTTCATTCCATTGGCAAACTATTTCATTTACATACTTAAATTAAGGGTAAATACACTTAATTTAAGAAACTTTTACTTATTTCTAGATCATTTTTCGAGTTGAAAAGCATGAGCGATGCTCCTTCTCTGCTTCTCTCTCTTTGTCTGAACTCTCTGGCTTTTTATGCATCTGTAGATTCTCTCCTACCCACCTGTGGACCTGTTTCTGTCCATCACCTAACTTTGGCTCACTTAAATGAATAGTACACCCAAAACATGATTAGCCTTCATTTTCTACTCACCCCCATGCTGAACAACACTCTGGAGTACTTTTTTGATAT